TGGGGGGGGGCCGGTGTTGGGGTCCTTTTACCCGGGTGATGCATATCAAACACCTTATAAAAAAAAAAAAAAAAAAACCTGCTGAGAATCATGGATGGAATATAAAAATATAAAGTAGTGCCTCAAAGGTACCGCAGCTGAAAGGTAACACATTGCAAAGCAGAACAGAACTAATGACGGTCCATCTTACCGTTCCTTAGGTGTACCCAGAAACCTTCGGAACGATCTTTTAGTTGCTGCTGACTCAATCACAAACACCATGTCATCGCTGGTGAAAGAGCTCCACTCAGGTCGGTCTCCAGTCTGTATTCGAGGAGTCTTCCACTTCCTTTTGGCCCAAGTCTTTGCATCTGAAATGTCGGGTTGTGTTTGTTTCCAAAGTGGATGACGTGGCGGAGGACGACGAGACCAACATGAGGAATGGTGGAGACAGAGGTGGGTCCAGGTACTTGCCGATCCATTAGTCTTCTAACTGCACTAAAGTTAATATTAATGTGTGTCACACCTAACACTAAATGATTTTAGAGTTTTAAAAAATATGTAAATGACCAAACCAGCAGTTAAAAAAATAAAAAATAAATTAAATATTGAAACTTCTCCAAACCAAAAACAGAGGAAAAGCATAAAAAAGACAGAAAAAATAAATTACAGTATAAAAGACACAAAAAAAAAACTAATTGCAGATTTTTTTTCTCAAAACAAAAAATAAATAGAAAAAATAAAAATGCATAAAAAATGCAAAGAAGTAATTAAAAACTCAAGAAAAACAAAAAAATTATGTCAATTAAAACAAAAAACAGATAAAATATCTACAGCATAAAGAAACTAGAGACAAAAAAATTAAAGCAAAGAAAACAGTGAAAATTTGACAGATGTAGGGAAACCTAAATCACCTAGTGAGTCTCCTAAAAAGAAAAAGAACAAAGAAAAGGAAAAAATTATGCAATAAGGAAACAATGAAGAAAAAAGAGGGAAAGGGAAAAAAGTGAGAAGAGAATAAGAGCAAGTGTCGTAATGTTCCAAAACGTTAAAATGTTGAAGGGGTGTAAATACTTTCAGAAGATGCCGTACTTATGCTCACAACTGAATTCAGTTCAATTCAATTAAAGAAGGCACACAGAGAACACACAAAAAATAAATACAAGATAAAATACACAAATAGAGAAAAAGTGCAATATGAAGTAGCAAGAATCTCTTCATCCACTTACTTATCTCATTGCGCATTTGCAATGAAATAAGTAAGTGGGTGGAATAACTAACGAGTTTAATCAGTTATTAAACATCAACTCTGGAATTTATATATATATATTTTTTATAATTCCTTTTTATTTTATAGCACTTATCACAAGAAGAAAAAGTGACACGTTAAGAGGACTCTCGAGTTAATTAAATGAAATTAAGCGATTGCACTTGCGCCTGTTATTGACTTCGTGTCAAGCGCACTAAACATGAAAAACTGAAGTGCAAGCACTTCCTGGTGCAGAAGCGGCATCTGTTTCCACTAATGACTGTGTTGTCGCTGTATTTACTTGGCCTGGCAGCACCCTGCATGGCACCGACACCGGCTAATAATAAACTCATCTGGCTCTACTGCCGCCTCTCTCGGCCCCACAAAAGAAATTAAACAGTTAGAGAGCGGCGCTTTGCCGCGCCGAGACGGGTTTTTCATTCGTTCGCCCCTCGGGGTCGGCGGCGGCGGCGCTAAACATGCTCTTTGTTTGTGCGTCCAGGCACACTGAGAGTACAAAAGCACTGAGGGGAAGAGATCCCTACCCCGGCCTGCGAGGACATCCGGTCATCGACTGGGAAGACTCGGCATCAGCAGGAAGCCCCTGGCATTAGCACGTAGAGTAATGCATGCATCTAATCTAAAAAGTAATTTCACTATGTGAAAAAAAAAAAAGAAGTCGTCACACCTTGCGCCTAGCAAGATGTGTCTAATTACCAAGTGTGTATGTTGTCCTGTAAACAAAACAAACAAAAAAAAACCTGCTGTAAAATTACCAGAACAGTTTCCCTCCTGAGTGGGAAGAACAGCTTGCTGTGATTTTTTTCCTCCCATTCCAGCAGATCGTCCTGTACATAAACTACTGTAAACACACGGAGCCTTCTCACCAAGGAGACGGCTTTTTCTTTTTCTTTTTGAGTAGTTTACATTTATTTATGATGTTTGTTTTCTTTTCTTTTCTTTTTTTAGGTTTTTGCATGAATTTGCACTCATGTCTGGATTTAGTTACTGTACTGTACGACGCTATGCCGGGTCTTTGATGGTGTTGTGAAGACAGCTGTGGTGTCAGAAGTGTCCTCCAAATTCATGCTAGTTGTGTTTACTTGCACAGGGGAAATTCTGGGACTGTGGTCTTGTTAGGAGGCACTATTTATTGATACGTTTATTTTTAATTACTGTTTTTTTTTTTTAGAATTTGCCTTACTGCCATGATTTATGTGATGGGGAGAGTCGGCCAGAGGAATAAGCAAACGCCTGCTTAAGGTTTCTTCGCTTCTGCTGTGAAACCAGAAATGTTTATTCCCCTGAATTTTCATCTTTTGATGAGCATTTTCATTTTGGTCTGAAAGATTTACTCTCTCTTTCAGCACACATGGTTCCAAAGATGTGCTGGTGATTTTAAATCTTTTAACAGAAAATGGAAAGTATGAGGTAAGAGTTATATTAAACTGATAAAGCTAACTTATGAAGTTTAAAAAATGTACCAGTTTTGAATGCTTGAAAACCTCCCTCCCTAAAGCACCATACAAAGGTTCAGGTTTTACTACAAGTTTTATCTAGAATACATTTCTACCCTGGTAGTACATTGTTACCCTTCTTTATCAGTGGAAACAAAGGTGGGTAATGTCAACCTAGTTTTTGGAGTTGAAAGTCACTGACTGTAAAACTACCACAGGCTCCTGTGAAACTTGTTACCTCTGAAAACCAGTTGTGAAATGGTTAAAATTGATTTACGCGACTGCTGTCACGTGATATCAGCTTTATTTAAAACAGAACAAATGACAAGAGATAAAGACAGGCTGGCGTTTGTATAAAAACGTTCTCATAAATCTCATGGCAAGAAAGCAAATCAAGCTAATTTACCTCAGTTCTAAGCTAATAATTTCAGGGAATAATGCAGTGCAAAAATTCTTTGACATTAGGGCCTTTTTTTTATTCTAGTACTTAAGTGTGAAGAGCCAAATAAAACCCTCGGCTGGCGTCCAGAATAACCTGTGCATGTGAACACGCTGGATGAGTCTCGTACTACTCTGCTGCTAATGTGCTCTCAGAGAGTATGGCTCGCCAAACAGAGGGCTGCCGCGAAAAAACAAAACAAAAAAACACACACAACAACGAGTCAAGTCTCCTTTACTCCCAGTGAGTACCACCTGAAGGGCATTGTTAGCTCAACACAGCACGGTGCCTCCTTCCAGAGGACACCGAGAGGCTGCTAGGCAACACGTTAGCACGCTAGCGGGTTAGCCGCTGGGCTAGCCGCCGACCTCGAGGTCAGAGTTTCAAAGTAAACACTCATTCAGTGTGTGAGGTTGGAAGGCCATAGAGAACTAGGAAGTGCTTCAAATAGCTTTATTTAGGTGTTGAAAGTGAGCAGAAAATATTTATGTGCAATGACGATAAATGTGCTCAGGGACTGCAGAGCTAACGGTTTGCCGTTCAAGTCCTGAAATGTGAGAAATATCGGGAGGTCGCGTTTAATCAATAAGTGAATTGGACTTGCTTCGGATCACATTTGTACGATTTTATCAGGACTTCCCAAAGCACATCTTATGAGTAGGTTTGATCTGTTTAGGTAGAAACTCTACATGCCTGTGCAGAAATCAATCAATCAGCAAATAATGAATGATGAAGCATTGAGTAATTTGTGTAATGGCCACTTCTTTTGGCACCCTTCATGAAGACGGTAAACAGCCTAATCATAAAAAAATCACCATTTATTGCAGTTCTTTAAAAAAATTGACAAATCCTATCTTAAATTCAAGGGATTTTTTTTCCACGTTAAGAAATAATTATGTTTAACTAAATTACTAATTATCTGTTCTCCTAACAATCCCATTATTTAATTAATTAAAATATATATCCGAAACGTTTTTTTAATACAATCTTGACTTTTTTCTTTCAGCTGATCAGAGTTTCTAGGGAGTTCGAATGATTAATCAATACTTTTTCTGTTTCCACAGTTCATAAATATTATGTGACAGAAACTAATTTCTTTTAGCCACTCTGATGGACAACTTCCCATATTTAATCTGCGGTGCTGCACAGTAACAGAAGTAAAAATAAACAATTCAGAGCTAGAATTTCTCTAAAGTTTCATTTTCACTGCAGGGCTTTGTCCACGTCTCTATCAAGGGTGCCGTGAAATGTGTCAGGGATTTTAGGAGAGGATTTTTCCATAAGTGCTGTTTGGTTAGAAATGATTGGTCTGTGGGTGACTTTGTGTCTTTTGGCAAAGCAAAGTGTTTTGTTAACAGAGGCTGTGAAGCGGTCAGCCATCCTTATCATTCAAAGTCACACAGGTTATCAAACCATTTTACCTTTACATGTAAGTTTTTGGTTTGATTTCATGTTGTTTAATGTAGCCGTCTGTAAAAACAAATGTGCATTTTCTGGATTTTAGTTCAGTTCTTTAATCCTTATTTAACTGAACTGCAGAAGTTTTTTTTGTTTCTGGTTCATGCACTAAGCCTGTCCTATAAGCTACATAAGAGGTTTCAGCGACCCGTTACACACTGTGTTAAGACAAAAAACAAAACAAAAAGGGGCTCCTCTGTTGCCATTGTAGATGTTGATTTTTTTCCCCCTCTTTTTTTTTCTCTGTTTTGATGTATATTGTCTTTTTATTTCTATGATTCTGCTCTGCAACATTGATGGAGTCTAATCGTTGTAATGGGTTTATCAAAAACTGTTATTCACCTGGTACACTTTCATTTGAAAGCAGGAACAATTATTGTAACCACTGCTGCTGTAAAACACGTTTCGGCCCACAAATCATATGTGAAAACGCTGAGATTTAAAAAAACAAGCAAAAAAAAAAAACAAGCAAACAAACAAATGTGACCCTTTCCCCTTTCATTCTGATCCTGCATTTTATTGCAATTCTTAATCTTCCTGTTCTGTTCTTTCAGTTCGTGCCTGTAGCTGTACTGTAAAGTGCTGTACAAAGTAACCATTCAGCAAAAGAGATAATCTGTCAGCCTCCGTGTCAAGGTTTTAGTCTGTGACTTTGTAGAGATTTTATTTATTTGTCGATTATTTTCTCGTGTTTTTTGGGGTGGGGATCTTACGCTCAGCCTTTACATTTGTGCCAAACTGTTTGCAGACGTCGTGTGTCGTATAAAAACACAGGTATATATCGAAGTATATCTGCATTACTAGTCTGTCGTCGACCTTAATCTGTTCACTGAATGCCTGGGGAAGGAAAGTCATCTGCTGCTGAAAAAAAAAATAGATGCATTTAAGAGTTATACTATTATTATCAAAATGGGGAAAAAAATAAATATATATATATATGTATATACATATACATATATATACATTCCAGAGTGATTCATTTTATTTGAACCCCTCCTGAGGCAATACTGTATGTATCCCACCCTGTCAGACCAAACTCGGGTTGACACAGCTGGTCACACAGAGGTGCATACGCTGTAATCCCTTTTTTTGTTTTTTCTTTGGTTTTTCACAGAGACATGGTGCAAAGCAGACAGCACAGCTTCCCTGATGTTATTTAAATATGTGTGTATTCTGTACGCTTACGCTTCTTGTATATGCATTCGTTTTCACGTTGATTTGACTAAACATAGTTTTATGTCACAAAACCACAGATTTTTTTTTTGTTTTGTTTTGTAAATACATCAAATGTGAGATATATTAAAAAGATTTAAAATATGAATCACGTTGGTGTTTTCGTGTTTCCTCGTCTGCTGTGAGATGGAAATACTCTTGAGTGCCAATTAACTGTCATGTTTTTTTTGTTTTTTTTAAACTGTGTACACAGGGAAAACATGCAAATATTTCTGCACCAGAGTCCAAAAATGTCTTTCTAATTTGACCCAAAAGCTGAATTTATCCTGTTGGAGCATAAGTTGGCTCCTTTTTGACCAAACATTAAATAAAAGATGAGATGACATGGGGTTCGTCTTCCAGCAGGATTTGACACTAAAGATGATCTTAAGAATGGCCCTGTCAAAGTTCAGACCTACATTTCTTTTTTTTTTCTGAAAATCTATTACATAGAATCTCAGTCAGTCTCCTCTGACTGAGATTGAGCAATTTCTAAACAAAAGTGAACAGAAAAATTCCAACAAAAATGGATAAGCAGCAAATTAACTGTAGTTTTGTAAATGTGTGCCACACCTCTGAGAATTTTACAAAAGTAAAATTTGTAGTAGAAAGTAAAGGAAAACAAGGTATATTTTCTGTCTACTTTCTAAAAATATTGGTCTATCAAATAAAGACTAGATTTTATATATTGAACTTTATATATTAATGAGGCTAAATGTTCAAAGGGTGCTTTTTTTTTAAAGCACTGCACATTTCAACACTTTGTACTCCGTTTACACACTTTTAGCGACATAATCATAACACACTATGTATAAAGAGTCACACAGATCGCCCAAATCACAGCCTTCTCCCAACAGCAGGTGTCGCTAGACGCTAATATTTACGACATTTTGGCTGCATCCTTCTCACTGTTAGTTCTCGTTTTTTGGCACTGCTTTCCTTGCTATTTTTATAACCAACCTTACCGGTAACAGTGACCAACATGGAAAGCAATAGGCAGCAGCAGTAAGTTTTCTTGTAGATGTCATTACATTGTATGTGAAGTCAATTTATGAGTTATAGTTTATTCTATAAAGAATGTGGAATACAGTATCCTAGTTTAGCACTCTTTCATTCAGTGAGTAATGGACTTCTAATTGTATTAGGCTAGGAGTGAATTCCCATGTTAGGGAATATTTTTGACCAAATCACCAATTGAACACTTGGTTGATATTTCATATAGATAAATGGGACCTGGGGATGTTTTAAATTTTAGCTTTACTTCTTCTTTTTTTTTTTTACACTTACAATTTTCCAGCATTTTCCAAGGGGTAGAAATATGATGACACAGAGGTATATCTTTGAGATAACAGAACCAGACCCATATTCTCTGGTTCTGTTCTGGGGACGACTGTGGAACCTCTGAAGATGATGATGCCAAGAAGGATTTTTCATAAAACCAAGAAATTTATGGACAACCCGGACCATCCTCTTCATCAGGCTGTCTTGGGAAAGCAGAGTGTCTTCAGTCAGAAGCTTCTTCAGATTCACTGTAACACAGACGGGTACAAGAGAGCTTTCCTGCTAACAGCCATCACTAGCTACAATAAATCTTTGAGAGAGAGAGAGAGAGATTTGTGAGGTTTGCAGGGGGGTTGAACAGTTTATTAAATGTTAAAAGATCAATCGTTTTATGATCAATGATCTGCTTTGAGATGAGAAGTTAAAGTTTTATTGTTATGATCTCTTATTAGACATTGGAACACTTCATTGATTATTAAGAATGACGCATCAAACTTCCAACATGCCGTCTTCTCTGCCAGGTTGTTATTGTAAATAAGAATTTGGTTAATATACAAAATGAATCATTTTTAAAATAACGTGAACAAGAATACTGTCGTTTTCCAAATGGATGCTTCTTAGAGGTGCTGCCTCATTTCCTATCAGAAAAAAACTTGAATGAATGTAATGAATTAAATATCTAAATCTGTCATGGACATCTTTAATTGTAGGCTGGATTTTTACTATATCCTGAACTTTAAAAGAACCCTCATAATTATTAATTTGCTGTCTCGTTATTCATGCATCTCATAACTATGGGATAGCTAACTCTGACATGTCCTTGTCAACGAAAAGACACAACAGTAGTATAGTGTTGACAGGTTCGACTTGTAACCGGAGGGTCGCTGGTTCGACCCCCGTTCAGTCTCAGTAGTTGCCCGTGATGAAAGACTAATTTGGACCCAAATAATGAACTTGCTAACATGAACTTACTGTCCGCAAAATTGTATCTATAACCTTTAAAATGAAGCTAAGCCAGCATTTCTTAACACTACTGTGTTTAGGACCCGGTGGAAGCAAGAGCGGAGGCGTCTCCAGGCCTCCGTAGTGCTTGCTGCGCATCTGGAGAGGAGGTTCTGTCAGGCCGGGGGTGGTGGTGGAGGACGGGGGCGAAAGAGGAAGGAGGCTCCGGGAGCAAGCGAGACAAAAAAGGGTCAGCCCTGGGACTTGGGAAAACTGGGTAACGAACACACGGTGATTCACGCTTTTTTTCTAGA